CTCCACTCGGACACTGAGCCATTGATGACCGCTCTCAGACCACGACCATCCAGCCAGTTCTTTATCCATCGAGCGGTCCATCTGTCATATCCATGTCTCTCCAGTTTCGAGACAACGATGTCATGTGGGACATATGCTTTCTTTACAGAGAAAGGTGACAGCCAGGCGGAAGAAAAAGGAAGGATGGACATGGAGCAGATTTTAGGCATAAGTGTAGTGCAATCAAAGGAGTGTCTGGCACTGTCTCCAATTCTCTAGCTTAGGCCAATAATTGCAAGACCAGCATCACAGAGCTCATTATAGGCAGAAAGACTCCTAAGAAAAAAGTTATCCCACACTGAGAATCCTATTTCCATAACCAGACTACACCAGGACTTGAGCCAGTTAACATAAAGCTAACGCTAACCTCACTATGCTGCTAAACAATCATCAGTCTTTACCGCAGCAGAACCGCATCCTTTGGTCACCACTTGCTGGTTCTATCAGACTATGTGTGTACAGCATGCAGCTAAGCAGGTAACCTCAGCCTCCCTCTTAAAACCGTATTATAAATGCTACCTGATCTCTTTCACGTCATTAGGTCTTCCCCCCACAAGCCTGCCTATGTGACTAACTCACTTTTTAAACAAGTAAATTACCTAATTTCCTCTCATCGTAAGGTTTCTGGAGCTTTCTAAAAGACCAATGCCCAGTCAAGAGGGCGGTCCATTTATTCAGCTCCAAAGTAATTTTGGTTTTGTACTGAACCAAGCTGAGTAAGAACATACCTCTTCTTTTCCAAGGGTTTTCAGATGATCCAGGATCTGTGCTATCACGGTTTCACACAGTTTATTGATTTCAGCCAGGAACTTGGAGTCTCCACCATACAGGGTATCATTGGAATCAACTGCAGAGATGAATTCAAGCTTAGGTCTGGCTAATGAGATACGCATTCTTTTGCTACTGTAAACACCAGCTATTTATAGAAGGCCAGATTTGGAAGTTATAAAATGATCCTCCTCTATCAAACAGAAACAGAAGTGCCTACCATTCCCTCCTCTAACAGAAACAGAAACAGAAGTGCCTACCATTTGGTTGCCTAGGACGTCATTTTGATTTTAGGAACAAAACACTGGAAATAATCTCTTAGCTTAAAGCCAGTCCTGTGATCCTGGATGCAGCCCGGTTCAAAAACATCTGCTAGACTACAATGCAAAGCAACATACAGTGTCAATTTCCACTTATTCTACAGAGGTAAGACTCCCTGCTCCCAGCAGTTGAGAAGAGTTTGGCCATCATCTTCAACGCAACAGGACTTGGCCAAACTAAGTTTCACTTACCGAAAAAAAGATTTTAAAAGGAAAGTGCATTTTATTTTTTTTCCCCTCTAAAATAAAACCTCAATTACCTCAAAGTCATGGAGAGAAATTCAGAAAGTATATTTTCAATTTTAAAGACCTTGAAGGATTTTTTGGAGGGAGGAAGCTATTGACATTTTTAAAGCTTAAATAACTGTGATTTTAAATGTGTTTTGGCCTCATTTACTTATAATGTTTTACTAAGAAGTAAGTTACATGAAATTTGTAAGTTTAAGTGTATTCTAGGTAAATCAGAGGGCATGGAAGATAAAACGTGATCCTCTGTTCCCAAGTAAACTTCCTTTTAAGAAGCTAAGGTATATAGTCCACCTAGGGGAAAAAAAAAAATTATCCAACCACTGGGGAAAAATTACTGATTTATATTTCCAAGCTTCTCTCCATTGAAATCTAATTCATTTAAATGTCTTATTTTGGGATTATGCAGTTATTTTCATCATATAAAAAATTAATGAAAGAAAAAGCAGCTGAAACACGATTCCTAACAGAACTGAAACAGCAGATGTCTAGGGAGTAGTTGCTCAAGTGACAACTAGTTTCTGTGCTGCTAACTGCAAGAGATATTTTGTCATGGTTCGTAACTGACAGGCTATTCACCCGAAGAACTGCAGAATATATTCCAGCCTGCCTCTTGTGAAAGCCCTGTGCAACTAAAACAAAAAGCCGAACTAGCTTGGCCTCTCAGACTAACTAATCTTGCCCTTGTGCTTTAAAAGACTCTATTAATACTCTACCTCAATTTAGTAAACTCTGATCAGAAGGCAAACATTCAAATTTTAGAGCAAAGTATTATTACAAAAAGACTACAGCCATTTCATAAAATGCAGAATCTTTAGAAATTTTTTCCTAGCTATGGTGAAGATTTTTGTAAGACACCAGCAGTTTCCAAAACTGAAAGCCTGCCTTCAAAGCAGCAAATACATCATCTGAATAATGACGACTAGGCATTACGTTCTGAAAACTGGAGTTGGTAATAAATGTGAATGAAACACCAACGTTAAGTATAAATCAAGTTGATACTCCAGTCTAAAAGAAAACCTTCCATACCTCTATAGTTCTAATATTTACTTCACAGTTCTAAGTATTTGCATCAACACCACCAGGAACAAAGAAAGTAACCCACTCTGCACACATTCACTTTAAAGAACAGACTGTGCAGGCACTTCCTGTGATTATTTTAAGCTACAATATCCGGATCTGCACAGGAAAATAATCCATTCTTTAAGACTGGCTACCACTGATCTTCATTAACCAGGTACGGTGGATATACAACACTACAAATTGCATGGTAAAACCCAAGGAGCCAGAGCCACCCTTCTGTATTACCTTTATCTACATGGTAGATATATGCTTCCTGAGTCATTGCGGACAGCAGATGCAAAACATTAGTATAAATCCTGACTTTGTCATCGCTGTTATCCTCCCAAGTATAATCCTGGATCACATTAAGTAATCCTCGCACAAGAAACAACACTCCTTGTTCTGGATGGTCCTATAGAACAGAAAAAAAGATTGGTGAAAACCAGCAACACAACCACCCCAAAACCAAAAATGGGATTATTTGCAGCCATTCAGGGTTTAGTGTCACAATATTAGCTCTATAAAGCAAAAACTACAATATAATTAAAGCTGACTACTTTTCTGAAGTGTGTTTCCTGCAAATCCTTTTGAAAATTTGTTCCACTTCCCTTCCAAAATGACCATTTGACCCATAATGATTAAATTGATCTAGTTTGGAGCAAACTCCACAAACTCTGAAATGCTTTATTTTCTAGTCACAGGGGAGTAGTACAGAATTAATTGCCAGCTTCTTAGCAGCTAAGCCTCTAAAATTAAACACACTGGGTAGATTTTCTTTTTAATTAAAACAATGTCAGTAAGCTATAGAAACAAGTATATTGCTCATATAATTATGAGTTTCAGAAGAACACCTACATTGGGAAGTCAGTTACAGACAATCAACAATCTTTTACTATGAAAGCAATAATAAAGACATTTGCTTTACATAAGCTATGAGTTTTTCAAGCAGTTTTAATACTGCACCCAGCTTATTTCAAGCTAGCAGTTGATGCAATGATACCAATATACACAGGACGAATCACAGTCCACTGGGGACATTTCCTTTTGATCCTGTAAAGTAAATAGGAGAAAAAAGTATGGAAGCTAATATCTGAATCTTGATTATCTCACTGCAAGGTCTTCATTACTGAATCGGAGAGATTGGATCTCCCTCCTTCAATCATCTGTTCATGATCAGAGTCATTTCTCTGAGCAGCTTCCAGTTCTGACACAGCTTTCCTTCAAAGGCTTATTTCTGCAGTCAGTGGACCGCAAGGATACGTCACCGTGGCAACTAGCCTTTCCCTTCTAATGCCAGCACCTCCATGTTGCTGAACGTGCAGGGCTGGGGTGACCCCTGTTCCTTGGAAAAAGGAGAATACACTGCTCTAGTTGTAAGGATTCAGACAGCACTATACTGTGGTGCTTCACCAAAAACAAAGTCAAAGGAAAAAGGAAGTAGGAAACCATAAGGAATGATTCAATAAGGAGGAACAACCTACTTTCTCCAAGAACAAATGAATAAACTTCAAGCTTTTTTTAAACATGCCATTATGCTAAGCCAGCTCTTGCTGGGAAAGAAGAATCTTCTCAGAGGGGGACACAGCTGTTAACAGAGGGAGGTAAAATATTCAAGCGTTAAGTTTTTACTGCACTGGAAACCAAAGTGTCAGAGACCTGTTCTTCTTCTATAAGGTCAACAAAATACTTCCGTTAGATAAGTTTTATTTCATGTCTCCCAGATTAATTTACAATTCTTCATCATCTTTCAGCTATAGCTGAAAATATATGAAGGAAAACTACATATATATCTCTACTTAAACTTAACAATTGGTTAAAAATTGGGGTCTAGAATGGTAATGTTTAGAGAAATATTAATCAAATGAGTTAGGTTGTACCAAAACACATCATCTAACTATTGTTTTCAGTCAAAAGATTAGGCAACCTATAGGAAAGAAACTAACAGAAACTAATCAAAACTAGAGCTCTGTATTTTTCCCCTCCTCGGGTATTAGATTTTATGAGTGCTCAGCTAAAATACCACTTTTCTGCAAGGATCTATTAAAACAGTAAATTATGTTTACACAGTTAAACGGCGAGATTTCTCTCTACCCCAAACCCAGTTAAGTACAGTGTGCTATGGTGAGAGGCAATGCTGTACCTCCACTTCCAAACAATTGTTCTGCCTCCCCATTTTGCACTGGGGTGAGTGATTTTGCAGCCAATGAGCAAATCGGTTCAGCTTGCTCGTGGAAAACTAACCACTGCATTTCCCACTCCCAAAAGCCTAGTCTACTCTAAATTTTTGAACAGGAAAGTCAAACCAGTCTAGTAGCCTATGTGCTATTCAAACACACACAACTTACCGGAACAACTAGTAATGTGGAAAAAAAATTACAAAGGAATTCCAGGAGGAAGGCATCTGAAGGTCGCATCTTCCCATCTACACTGATCATTTTTGGCACTTCAGGAACAAGGCTCACCGCAGCTTTGAAAAAAGCATCAGCTACAAAACAAGAATACAGTTGCAGTATTATCACTCCAGCTGTGATGGCTGTCATGCCTGTGACCCAGCCACTGCTTCATGTTTGTCTCAAACAGACTACAGAAAATCAACGGATGCACAGAAACTCAAGACAGCCGTCAAAACCTGTTGTATTTCAAGTGATGCTGCTTTTTTCAAAACAAGTTCCCACAACACTCCAGAACTCTTAAATTATAACTCTTCTCCTCTGCTTAACAAGAGGACAACATTGTTTCAAATATATTGCCTATATCACAAAAATAAGCACACAGTTCAAAACTGACTTATCTGAAGAAATGCTTACGCCAGGAGAATGGGGAATCCGAAAGGGGAGGAAAAGTACATTAGATCAGGCTATCTTGTTCACGAATTCATTCACAAAAGGCTGTAAAAGTTGTAAGGAAGTACAGACACTTTCATTTGTCTGAATATTTAGTCTTTAAAAGTAAAATAGTAATATAACAGCAGAAGCTGAGGTATTGCCAGTTACCTAGATAAAATGATTCCTTCCAAGAATCACAATGCAGTAATTACAGAAACGACCCACCATTATGTCCTTGGTAAAATAGCTATTAAGAACTTTTTCATAAATTATTATTTCTGTAATCCTACCAAAAAACCCCCAAAAAACCCACTAGAACATCTATTTCTCATTTGTTAAGTTAATATTCATAAATTAAAACCAAGAATATCTTCTCTCTTACCCTAGAAGACCTATGCTACGAGTTCCCCAAAAGAATTTCTGGCAACAACACTCTTTTGCACTTTCTTGCAATTTCAAAATATCCAAGCATACAAATCCCCCTCAAGTTGTTTAGCCATATACTTCAAAGCATCCTTCATAATTAATACTGTATCTTCACTTTACAGGAACAGAGATTTAAGCCATGAAACCAAATTTTGGCAAAGAGAAGAAGAGGATTCTTGGTGGCAGCCAAGAGGTGTTACACAGCTGGGACAGAGATGCCACTGACAGGCGTGCATGGGCATTTCCAGGAGTGCAGCTTGCCCTGGAAAAATTCATTTGAGCACATGAGACTCCAAGCAAATTTGCTAAAAATAGTACCAACTGACATCTAATTTAAGCTTATGAGGAATACCAGGGAAACGTGTTTTGGAATTCTTCTGACCCTTATTTCTTTTCAGCACAGGAGCCCTTCCGAACTTCCCAGTACTCAAAATGCAGGCCCTTCAGCTAAACATCACACTTCCTTTTATGCTGCACATTTATTTTTAGGTGAAGGAATGTTTTTATTTATTTCAAACAACATATAAGTTTACACAGCCAACCCAAAGGATAATAAGTAATCTTTCTCTGAGCTTTACCAGAGCAAGGAAAGCAACAGCAGATGTTCATTCTCGCACAAGTGAATGAATCGCTGTCATTCCACAGCTGTCTCAGTGTGGAAAAAAAGAGTGCATGCCCCTCATCTCCATATAAAACATGTGATCAGACACATGAAAAAATGTGTCTCAGAAAACAGCCTGCATACCACAGAGCCCACGTCTGCGCAGAGACGACTCCTGCCTCCTGAAGGCATTTCCTAAGGGCCAGGAGCTGCCTGTGCAGCAATGACACGGCAGGGGTGCCAAGTACCCCCCTTCACTCCCTGCCTGCTCTCCCAGCGTCACACAGCTAGGCACTCTCCGCTCAACTTCTGCCCTAGCACAAACCAAAACATCTGATCTTCGCTACGAATAACTGCTGCTTGATCCAACTTACTCTTCTAGGCCTCCTGCCCTGCTGCACATGGGCGCTGCTCCGGCACCTTCGGCGCCACG